AATCCATCTCAAATTACAGTATTAGTGAAAGATCTTTAAACGAACTGTCCAGACAATTGAGCAATTGGGCAATTGCACAACTGCCATTGATTTGTAAGGAAGGGGAAGCCCGTCGTGACCGAGATTGATTGTCCCTTGCAATAATCCTAGACATTTCTTTCACAAGTATACCCTAGACTTCTTACTTGACAAGCTGATGTTCTCTCCGCAATCGTGTAGCTGTTTGGAATCTTCGTGAATCCGTAAGAGACAGCGAGAAGTGCAGCGATGAGGAGCGTTGAGTACGACTGAAAGTTCTATACGTTCTAAATGTAATTTCAGCTTTCAATTCACAGGTAGCTCCTAGAATCGCTTTAAAGAGTGTTATTTGGCGCTGAACTTGACCAGAGGCTTTGGCCAACTCCCCTGGCTCAGAGTCTGTAACAAACTGAAAACAGCTGAAAGTACAGCTGAAGTACGACTGACAGTACAGCTGAAAGTACAGCTGAAAGTACAGCTGAAAGTACAGCTGAAAGTACAGCTGAAAGTACAGCTGAAGTACGACTGACAGTACAGCTGAAAGTACAGCTGAAAGTACAGCTGAAAGTACAGCTGAAAGTACAGCTGAAAGTACAGCTGAAGTACGACTGACAGTACAGCTGAAAGTACAGCTGAAAGTACAGCTAAAAGTACAGCTGAAAGTACAGCTGAAAGTACAGCTGAAAGTACAGCTGAAAGTACAGCTGAAAGTACAGCTGAAAGTACAGCTGAAAGTACAGCTGAAGTACGACTGACAGTACAGCTGAAGGTACAGCTGAAAGTACAGCTAAAAGTACAGCTAAAAGTACAGCTGAAAGTACAGCTGAAAGTACAGCTGAAAGTACAGCTGAAAGTACGACTAAAACTACAGCTGAAAGTACAACTGAAAGTACGACTGCCCTAGCTCTTGATATGAGGCTGAATGAGCTGTAAACTGTAGCTAGAAGCTTTGGATTTAAATCTAATCTAAAGAATCGAGAGATCTTCAAAAACATACCATAGATCCGGACTCTTTGAATAAATAAACTAGCGAAGAGAAAGTTTTAGAGTTTAAATATGAAACAGATCAACGAACTCACTGCATAATCTTGGCCATAAATTTGGGTAATTTGTGACCTTTAACAACTGTCCACGTTGTAAAAGTTGTAAAAGTTTTTGGGCAAAAAAAAAGCAGTCTTCTTCTTTATCGTGTTCACCAAATTGCTGACCATTTATGGCCATCAAAAATCGGCTTTTTCGAGTTCGAGATTCAAATTGAAATCATCGACACAAATCTATAAAATTCAAAATAATAAGCTTTAGAAATACTGGCTTTTTTTTAAACATCAAACTCTTTATTTCTTTGTCTTTAACATCACGAAAAAGTCGATTTTTGATGGCCATAAATGGTCAGCAATTTGGTGAACACGATAAAGAAGAAGACTGCTTTCTTTAACATTACATTTTCTATCTATTGATAGATATGAAATGAAAAAAAAACAACTGATTTATAGACAATCATTCGAAATATTCTCCATTATTTTGAATGAATTGAGCCTATTTTACTGACAGAAGTCTCCCTCTCTCAAAGAAAATACTCGGCTTTAATGCAAACCAATCTGTCAGCCATTTTTGACATCATCTTTGGAATCAAAGTCTTTCATCGCTAAATCGCTGATCGCTGATCATTACTCCCTCGGAATAAGTAGCAATCAAAAGGTGCAAGATCAGGGCTACCAAATGGACACCTCTCATCAGGATCACCTCTCATCCAAGTTTAAAACGATTAGGATCACCTCTCATCCAAGTTTAAAACGAATCATCTTCGAAACATGTGCATTATCATGTTGAAGAATGATTTTTCTCTTGGAGCTCTTTCTCTGACAAAGATTTAGCTGAGTTGTTGAGTTAAGTTGAGTTGAGTGTTGTGTCTAGTAGTTGAGTGTTGAGTTAAGTTGAGTTGAGTGTTGTGTCTAGTCTAGTTCCAAAAGTGTCTAGTAGACTCTTCCAAATCCCAGAGCACCGAGAGCATAAATCTCAGCATCAACATGAAGCATCAACATGAATCTCAGCATAAATCGAGAGCAATCTCATGCACATTTGGCATCACGTCGTGGCTTTTCCCGGCTTTTCCTGACCTTTCCTGGCTCAGGCTTTTCCCCTCAGCAACCCATTGACTTTCACCGAAAGTCAGCTAGAATCCATTTTCATTCCTTGTCACAATACGGAGTAAAAGCGAGTTGCTTTCACATCGATGAGCGAGAGAGATGAGCGGCGCTGATTGAAACGTGTTCACATTTTGATAGTTTTTAACAAGAAAACGGTTTTGATAGTTATTTCAAAAGCGAATCTTTTAATAAGTTTAGTCAAGTTTAAAAAAAATATAAAACATTTATCTTATATTCAAATAAAAGCTAGTCAATTGTGCACAAAGTTAGCATTGACTCGAATGAAATCGTTTCCAATTGAGGTTACCTGAAGATGATTTCTTCGAATTTTCACCCCAAAAGCTTCCTCAAAGTGGAGACTTCCGAGCAAAGGACACACAGAAATCGCACCATCATCACCGACTGAAAAAAGCACTGCTGAAGGCTCATTGGATTCCAATTTTCGTGAATCCTCAATGAATGAATCAAAGGACCAACATGAACCTCTCATGATCTACAAAGAACTTTATTTTCTTTATATTCTTGGTTTAACCCGTCAATTTGTGGTATTTCCCCCTTGCAGAAAAACTTTTTGTTCTTCTTGTACCGAGGAAACGTCGCTCTGTCAGCATCAACTATATGAACTGAAAAACTACGAGTTATCGAATGTCACTTCTCACTTCTTTTGACTTCTCCTGATCCAGCCTCCAGCATGAACCTCTCATGATCCAGCCTCCAGCATGAACCTCTCATGATCCAGCCTCCAGCATGAACCTCTCATGATCCAGCCTCCAGCATGAACCTCTCATGATCCAGCCTCCATCATCAACCTCTCATGATCCAGCCTCCAGCATGAACCTCTCATGATCCAGCCTCCAGCATCAACCTCTCCTGATCCAGCCTCCAGCATCAACCTCTCATGATCCAGCCTCCAGCATCAACCTCTCCCTGATCCAGCCTCCATCATCAACCTCTCATGATCCAGCCTCCAGCATCAACCTCTCATGATCTACAGAGAACTTTATTATACATTATGGATTCCAGATCGATCAAAAAAACAGGGAAATCACAAAAATCATTTTGCAAATCGAAATTCGAGTAGTGGAACGGGAAAATATTTCCAAGGTCACAAGGCCGAAAAGAAAAAAAGGAAGAAAAATTCTCACTTCTTTTTATGCAACCGGCCTCTGTCCGAAAAGAAACCGGTCGAAGAGTCGGTTTCAAAAAAAAGAAAAAAAGAACAATTTGAAAGTCACATACACCTTTCCATATATCCTTGATGAATTCGTTGATTTTTGGCGTCTCGATTTTCATCATTTTTATCACTGATTTTATGCATTTTAGCAACTTTTATGCAAAAAATAAGTATAGTATGGTAAAAATATATAAATTTTCATAATCCGGTGTTAGTTTTTAAAAAAATAGCCCGTTTTCCGACTTAAACCGACTTTCCGACATTTGCAAAAAGTCTAAGAACGCTTGGGACACCCTGTACCGTAGTTTGCTTTTTCTAAATCTTCAAATTATCTAAGCAATTATAAACAACTATTTCTTTTACCACCAATAAAAAAGAATGTCCGTTAAACAATGGTTCACAGCGCATAAGACCTCTCCCCAAGATGACAAGCTTTTACCTGTGCCGTCTCAGAACCTTTTGTCATCTTTGGGGGGGAGGTCTTATGCGCTATGAATTGTTAAGGATCATGGCAACGGATGTTCTCCGTGCGCCTGAGTCAGAACAAGACTTGGTAAAATCCCATGGTCTGAATTCCTGAAGAACATAATTCATAGCGATAAGGCCTCCCCCCAAGATGACAAGCTTTACCAACAATAGTAAATCTTCAAATAGAAGTTTCTCCTGAAAATGAACTGTGAGAATGAAAATGAAACTTGATCAGCTTTTAAGTAAATCAATTGTACTATCTAACAAGAAAGGCTAAACTTTTCAAATAATCCTCTCTAGAAATAACAGTCGATAATAATATGATAACAGTAGACATAAATCGTTTAACAGATTTCCGAGATGAGAATGTCCGTTAAACAATGGTTCACAGCGCATAAGACCTCCCCCAAGATGACAACAAGCTTCATCTGTGCCGTCTCAGAACCTTTTTGTCATCTTTGGGGGAGAGGTTATTATCGATTATTATAAAACTATAGAAATTGATTAATCTCACAATCCTTTTTTAGCGCTAAATTTCAGTGTTGCGATATGGGATGATCGCGGTGTTCTCGATTCATTTTCAAGTGAATGTTTTCGTCATGTTATTCGCCACAAAACCCTAACGCTTAGTAATGGGAAAAGCTTTGCAGGGAGTTTTCCCGAAACTTCTCAAATCATGGGAAATCTCTACCGTAACCAAATCAAATCAACAATCGGCTAAAGAAAGAGCTTCAAGCTCAAGCTTTACCTGTGCCGTCTCAGAACCTTTTGTCATCTTTGGGGAAGGTCTTATGCGCTATGAATCCTGTTTTTTTTCTAGTTTTTTTTTCGTGATTTGTTGTGATTCGGATTGTGAAAAATTTTGCAATAATTTTGGATTAGAAATCTTTCAAAAAAGAGCACTTAAAACAAAACAAAAACACTTTGACGAGCTTTCTCATCGAAATTCTCATCAAAAAGTTGTTTAGATGCAAATTTTATACAAAAAAATAAGTAAAGTATAGTAAAAATATCTGAATTTTCATAATCCGGTGTTAGTTTTTAAAAAAAATAGCCCGTTTTCCGACTTAAACCGACTTTCCGACATTTACAAAAAGTATAAGAACTTTTGAGACACCCTGTACCGTAGTTTGCTTTCTCTAAAGCTAATCATTTTCTAATCATCATAAATATCTAATCATTTTTTCAGCTAAATGACGCAAATATGGCTTTGGCAGCCATCCAATCACCCACCCGAGGGCCCCATTCGAGAAGATCAATACAAATGTGCATGTGGGCTAACGGCAAAGGTGAAAGACTCAAAACGAGAAAATCTGTCATAACAGAACGCCTAAGTTCTAACTAAATATAGAGAATTTTAAATAAAAAAGCTCATAAATCTCTCTTTGTTTTAAATCTAGCATTTTAAGTTTTGTTTTGACTTTACAAAGCAAATTTTGATCACAATCGGCTGAAAGTCTTTCGGTTGAAAGTCTTTCGGTTGAAAGTCTTTTGGTTGAGAGTCTTTTGGTTGAAAGTCTTTCGGTTGAGAGTCTTTCGGCTGAGAGTCTTTCGGCTGAGAGTCTTTCGGCTGAGAGTCTTTCGGCTGAGAGTCTTTCGGTTGAAAAGTCTTTCGGTTGAAAGTCTTTTGGTTGAGAGTCTTTCGTCTGAGAAACACAATCGTCTACGAAAGATTGACAATTAAAATTGAGTTCAGAAAGATCTTTGCCAATACTTTGCTAAATTCTTTGCTCCTAAATCTCCTATAAAAGCTAATTTCCAGTTCGGTTTCACTGTGTTCACCATCTTCGATATTGTCCTTTTGGTCTTCTCGATCATCGGCCTATTCATTGTTCCGTTTCTTTTGGTTTGTAAAAAGCAATGACAAGTAAAAGAAAAAGTTTAAAAATAAAGCAAGTAGCAGAAGCAAGTCTTTAGGTTTCTAGCAAGTAAGTCTAGCAGAAATCTATCTTGTGACATCCAGCTAGCTTGCCTATCATTTGTGGGAGTCGAATCTTTGATCCTTGGATCTCTGGTTGACACTATACCGATTAACCCATCCAGAATTCCCAAACTTTTCAGAGAAGAGCTAACATCCCTGGAAATAGACTAATGACTTCCAGAAAAGCTCGTGAAATTGAATCCTCATCTTCTAGGCTTTTCAATTCCCCCTTGCCATCGGGATGATCGTTCTGGCTGTGATGTCGATTAAAACTCTTCGGCCATTCTTCATGCAAATCTACGGAATCATCTATGTGAGCTCTAGATAACTGAAATGAAATTAAAGTTTTAACTTTTAGATAATCGAGATGGTTTATTTGTTCATCGCTTTGGCGGCTATGTTCTTCCTCTTTGTTTTGACTGGATTCCTGTAAGTTCAGTTCGTGTTTTTCGATGGTAATAGGAATAAGAATCTGACGTGTGACATCCAGCTAGATGATTGATCTTTTGTAAAAGTCAATTGACTCTTGGCTTCCCGTGTCTGGCACTCGACCATTGATCCATTCAAACTTTCCATATAGCGGTGAAATAGAAGGAGTCAAACCTGTGACATCCAACTAGATGCTCGATCTCTTGTAAAAGTCTATTGACTTTTGGCTTTCCAGTCTAGCACTCTACCAATTGATCCATTCAGAGACTCGACCATTGATCCATTCAAACTTTCCATATAGCGGTGAAATAAAAGGAGTCAAACCTGTAGCATCCAACTAGATGATTGATTATTTATTAAACCCTGGCAATCAAAAGGAGATCGAAAATAAAAAGCTTACAGTTTGCTGTTTGTCAAAGTGCAAACTTCCGAGGAAAGGACAAACAAAATATCACCGTGATCACCTCGTTTGGTGAGTCCTCACTCAAGGATTTCATTTTATTAAACCTTTTTCTTCAGTGGTCGCCATTCTCTCTGTTCTCACCGCTATTTTGGCTCTTTGGCGGTGCAAAGTGAGCTGGGAGTTTTACAAATATGTTAGGCGAGTTTTCTCAGATCTTATTCACTTTATCTTTCTAATTGGATATCACAATAGCAAAAAAACTTTTGAAAACATTTACATTTTCATTTTGATATTTTTAGAGACCGCCAGCTGGCCATTGAAAAGCAACCAAGCAACATTGGATTCAATCAAGTGGCTTAATAATAGAATGTAATAAATGATGTATATAAAAAACTAGCTCACAAATAAACAATGTTTTATTTAGCTTATTTATTAAATATTGTGTCTGCTACGGGTTTTTGGCTTGATCTGAAGCTAAGGGAAAGCACTAAGGGGAAGATCTGAAGGAAGCTAAGGGAAGATCTGAAGGAAGCTAAGGGGAAGATCTGAAGGAAGCTAAGGGGAAGATCTGAAGGAAGCTAAGGGGAAGATCTGAAGGAAGCTAAGGGAAGATCTGAAGGAAGCTAAGGGAAGATCTGAAGGAAGCTAAGGGGAAGATCTGAGGGAAGCTAAGGGGAAGATCTGAAGGAAGCTAAGGGAAGATCTGAAGGAAGCTAAGGGGAAGATCTGAAGGAGCTAAGGGAAGATCTGAAGGAAGCTAAGGGGAAGATCTGAAGCTAAGGGGAAGATCTGAAGGAAGCTAAGGGAAGATCTGAAGGAAGCTAAGGGGAAGATCTGAAGGAAGCTAAGGGAAGATCTGAAGGAAGCTAAGGGGAAGATCTGAAGGAAGCTAAGGGAAGATCTGAAGGAAGCTAAGGGGAAGATCTGAAGGAAGCTAAGGGGAAGATCTGAAGGAAGCTAAGGGGAAGATCTGAAGGAAGCTAAGGGGAAGATCTGAAGGAAGCTAAGGGGAAGATCTGAAGGAAGCTAAGGGAAGATCTGAAGGAAGCTAAGGGGAAGATCTGAAGGAAGCTAAGGGAAGATCTGAAGGAAGCTAAGGGGAAGATCTGAAGCTAAGGGGAAGATCTGAAGGAAGCTAAGGGAAGATCTGAAGCTAAGGGAAGATCTGAAGGAAGCTAAGGAAGATCTGAAGGAAGCCAAGGGGAAGATCTGAAGCTAAGGGGAAGATCTGAAGGAAGCTAAGGGAAGATCTGAAGGAAGCTAAGGGGAAGATCTGAAGCTAAGGGGAAGATCTGAAGGAAGCTAAGGGGAAGATCTGAAGCTAAGGGGAAGATCTGAAGGAAGCTAAGGGGAAGATCTGAAGGAAGCTAAGGGGAAGATCTGAAGGAAGCTAAGGGGAAGATCTGAAGGAAGCTAAGGGAAGATCTGAAGGAAGCTAAGGGGAAGATCTGAAGCTAAGGGGAAGATCTGAAGGAAGCTAATGGGAAGCACAAGCTAAGGGGAAGCACTTTTAAGGAAAGCTGTTCGAGTCTAAACGCTGCCATGATCCTTAACAAAAATTTCTGCTTTTTATGACCCCTATAAACGTTGTGTGCTAGAAAGGGGGCGAAAATTGTTTAGAATCGACAAAGAATTGTCGATTCTAAACAATTTTTACACATTTAAGCACAAAGTATTCTTTAAACACACAAAGTATTCTTTGCAATACATCAATTTCCCTAATTCTCCTTTAAAAGCACACTAGTAATTCGTTATTCAAAGCAAATTAGTTTTGATATTAAAGTAAAGCTTTTTGTACTTACAAATGTACATTCTTACTTATATTTTTTTTTGCACTTACATTACTTACATACATTTTTTGATAGCTAGATACAGGTTGGGGGTTTTTTGGTTACATTTGAAGTCCGTTAAAGTATTGATGAAGCTGGCACAATGAATCGATTGAAGTCATTCATTTGATTGAGTCCAATGGTTGAATTGAGGGTAATTCTTCTTACGATCAGAAGTTTAATCATCTCCTTCTGTATCAAATCGATTGAAATCATTCATTTTATTGAGTCCACCAACTGAATCTTTAGCTGAATCTTTAGCTGAACTTTAGCTTTAGCTCTAGCTGAACTGTAGCTTTAGCTCTAGCTGAACTTTAGCTCTACAAAAAGACTCAGTTACAATAATTAGTTATCTATTACAGGATTCTCATAAAAATCAATTTTTCAACTTTCAATCATTCTCTGTAAAATCCCAGCATCAATTCATCGTTTGAGCTCAACGTCGATTCTCGTTGACTAATATTTTTGATTGCTAGATAAAGGTTGGGATTGTTTGGTCACATTTGAAGTACTGTTAAAGTATTGACAAAGCTGGATCAGTGAATCGACTGAAGTCATTCATTTGATTGAGTCTACCAATTGAAATTGGTTTCATTGAGCTTGGCTTCTTACGCTTCTGCATTCTTCTTACAATCAGAAGTTTAATTATAAAAAAAACGAATCTAAAACTATTTTTCAGCATTCAAGCATAACTGTGACTCTTGAAAGGGCGGTTTTTTACAGCTTTTTGGCAGAAAAATTGCACAACCATCTCTCCTTTTCGACGTTTTTTCCTTTTTGCGCCTTTTCCCTCCATAAATTGTGCAATATTTTCTTGATTGTGCAAGCTTGCCTCTAAGCTTTCTTTCTATATAAGAAATCTTTCTATCTTCTATCAAAATTCTCGATTATTCTCTCCAAAATGTCTTCTATTTTGGTAAATTCTTGTAAATTCTTCTAATTTTTCTTTTTAGGAACAAGATTTGAATGTGGAAATGTGGAAAATCAAGCAGATTATCAAGAATTTAGAGTCAGCAAGGGGGTTGGTCAAAGAAAAAAGTCAAAGAAAAGAATTTTAAGACGTTTAAGACGATTTCCGGTCACTATATTCGTTTCAGATTTCAGATCACTCAAAACCCTTTATTGTACCTTAATTGAGCGATTTCTTCTCCAATAGACATTGCCCATTTCAGCAACGGTACCTCAATGATCTCATTGATAATCCCAGGCGGTGATCAAATTGCTTTTTACTCGAAAATGTTGGTGGAAGAGCATGGAACGGCGTCGAATATCAAATCGAGTGCCAATCGAAATTCCGTTCTTTCCGCCATTGCGTCAGTGCAAAATCGACTCAAGCTTTATAATAAAGGTATAAATATCTCGATTTTTACTTTAATCACTTTAGACCACGATAAATAAGGAAGGGATCGTATTAGAACAAAATAGGAATCGTATTGGAACCGTGTTGGAACCGTATTGGGAACCTTATTGGAACAAAATAGGAACCGTATTGGAACAAATAAGGAATCGTATTGGAACCGTATTGGAACCTTATTGGATCCGTATTGGAACAAATAGGAGTCGGATTGGAACCGTGTTGGGACGGTTTTGGAATCGTATTGGAACCGTATTGGATCCGTATTGGAACAGTATTGGAACCGTATTGGAATCGTATTGGAATCGTATTGGAACAGTATTGGAACCTTATTGGAATCGTATTGGAACCTTATTGGAACCGTATTGGAACCGTATGGGAATCGTATTGGAACAGTATTGGAACCTTATTGGATCCGTATTGGAACCGTATTGGAACCTTATTGGAACCGTATTGGAACCTTATTGGAACAAAATAGGAATCGTATTGAAACCACAACATCAACCACAACATCTTGTGGTTGCTGTGGAGAGATTATACGTGGACTTTGCTCATTCCGGGCGAATGTTGCACGCTAAAGAAAAACAATTTCCTGTCATCTTGGGGGAAGTCTTATGCATGATTAACTCGAAAAAACAACCAACCAATTTCTTCGAATTGTGTCCTTGCTTTTGATTCTTTGATCCTTCACGTCGGCACACAAAACTTCAGCTGAATGAGGGCGGTTGCTAGGTGAATGAAGAAGAGGGCCGAAGAGTCCTTGATATGCGTGGGCAGACGACACTGCAGTGAGCCGATGAATGGTATGGCGAAAGACAGAAAATAAACCCATTGACGATCGCGGTTTGGGTGATCGTCAATCATCAATGGTCGATTTGAACCAAAATCAATGACTAAATCCTACAAAATTTCCAAATATGGCGACTTAAAAGACTCTAGAATCCGAATGAATCTGAGCTTAGATTTGGTAAAAGAAACTCTATTTTGTTTGCTTTTAGTTCCACCAAATGGCCTTGTTATCTACTGTGGAACAATTCAAAACGAAGGAAAAGAAAAGAAAATCAACATCAATTTTGAACCCTTCAAAATGATCAGCAAATCGTTGTACTGGTGTGGGAATAAGTTTAACACTGATTTGTTGAAAGGTATTGTTTCATGAGTTTCATGAATCAGGCAAATTGATTTGAATTCTTCAATTCTAGAGATGCTCAACGATGACATGAGAATCGGTTTCATCATCATCAACGGAAATGGAGCGTTGTTTGCCACATTGGAAGGCGCAAATCGAGAGATTCTACAGAAATTTGATGTTCATTTACCGAAAAAGCATGGTAGGGAATGCTGAAGGCTTTGGGAATGAGTTTTATTAGGAGAATATCAATTTCAATTCAAATTCAATTTAATTCCAATTTCAATTTCAATTTCAGGACGTGGTGGCCAGTCAGCTCTCCGTTTTGCTCGCCTTCGTGCCGAGAAACGCCATAATTATCTGAGGAAAGTTGCCGAGATTGCTGTGGAAATGTTCATCAAAAATGATCGGGTAAATTCTTGAAATAACATTATCGGATTTGTGTTCAAAAGCCAGTGACAGTCATTCGTTTAAGGCTTGCCTAGATGCCTATCACTTTAAACTAAGCCTAGCTTGGTGCTGGGTTCTGGATCAGATAGCTTATCCGGATTAAACCAGATCTGCTTCAAACATTCTAAACTCGGCTTAGCTATAAGCTTATTCCGGATCAGATCCTTTTCCAATCCAATCTCCTCCACTCCCTATTCAGATCTCTGTCTCCGGTTTAATCCTTGCTGAATCAGCTGATTTCAAGAATGAACCACAAGAAAGAACTTCAAGAATGACAGTCATTGTTTAAGGCTTGCCTAGATGCCTATCACTTTAAACTAAGCCTAGCTTGGTTTTGGGTTCTGGATCAGACAGCTTATCCGGAGCAAACCAGATCTCATTCAAACATTCTAAACTCGACTTAGCTATAAGCTAGCTTATCAGACTCATCCTTTGCCAATCTCCTCCACTCCCTATTCAGATCTCTGTCTCCGGTTTAATCCTTGCTGGATCAGCTGATTTCAAGAACGAACTCGCCATGTCGAATCTCTTTGATCAAGTGAGAAAAGAAAGAAAACAGAAAGATCGATTTAAAAAGACTTCAGAGACTTTTTCAGAGACTTCAATCAAAAGTCATCAAAACAATTGACATCTCATATGCCGGGGAAAACGGTTTGAATGAAGCGATCGAGCTTGCAGCCGGATCACTTGCTAATGTGAAATTCATACAAGAGAAAAGATTGATTCAGGAATATTTCGATGAAATCAGTCGCGTTAGTTCATTGATCAACAGCTTAAAAATAATGATTCTATTTGAGGAAACTGGGAAATTTGTCTACGGAGTCAATCATACCCTGCAAGCACTTGAAATGGGTGTGGTCGAGAAGTTGATCTGTTGGGAGAATCTGGACATTGTTCGGTAAGCAATTCATACTGCACTTTGCTATTCAGACCGTACTTTGCAATTCAGACTGTACTTTGCAATTCAGATTGTACTTTCCAATTCAGGATGTACTTTCCAATTCAGATTGTACTTTGCAGTTCAGACTGTACTTTGCAATTCAAACTGTACTGTGCAATTCAGACTGTACTGTGCAATTCAAACTGTACTGTGCAATTCAAACTGTACTGTGCAATTCAGACTGTACTTTGCAGTTCAGACTGTACTTTGCAATTCAAACTGTACTGTGCAATTCAGACTGTACTGTGCAATTCAGACTGTACTGTGCAATTCAAACTGTACTGTGCAATTCAGACTGTACTTTGCAGTTCAGACTGTACTTTGCAATTCAGACTGTATTTTGCAATTCAAGCTGTACTTTGCAATTCAGACTGTACTGTGCAATTCAGACTGTACTGTGCAATTCAGACTGTACTGTGCAATTCAGACTGTACTGTGCAATTCATACTGTACTTTGTAATTCAGACTGTACTTTTCTAATAACAAAAACATGATTCTTAAAGATATTGTACAATTTCATATCCAGTATCATTACAATACTTATTATATTGCTCAAATTACAGCACAGTACTCAGCACGAAGCACGAAAGCCTGTAATTCTTAAGGATTTTCAGATACGAAATCCGAACTAAAACTGGCAATGATTTAACCCTGAACCTGCAACGAAAAGAGAAGATTTCTGAAAACGATTTTGAACTTCTTGACTCCTGTCTATTACTTGAATGGTTAGTGGAAAATTATCGAAAATTCGGAGCTGAATTCGAGATGGTCAGTGATAAATCACAAGAAGGAGCACAATTTGCGAGAGGATTTGGAGGGATTGGTGGTGGGAAATGAATTTAAAGAGAAAATAATGGATTTTAATGGATTTTCAGCCATTCTTCGCTACCGAGTCGACTTCCAGGAGGATTTGTCGGAAGAATTTGAGACAATCGATCTTGATGAGTATTGACTAGAGGAGAAAGCTCAAGAAGAAAGCTTTCATGGAAAAGCTGGGGAGAGAAGGGAAATGTTTTAAGTGAATAAATTGTTTTGGAATTGTTTTGTAATGAGCTTTGAAATAGCACCCAATAAGAGATTTCAATAATCTCTTCAATAAGAGATTGAGAATAAGATGATCGCGAAAATCGCGACAAAATGCAAAAATTTTTTTGGCTTTCACAGGTATTATTGACCTAGGAGGCAGGGGGTACTTCTTGCCTATCCCTGCTGCTGTCAAAGAGTCAGGGGGGAGAGTAATGACGAGCTGAGAACCCAGAGAGAAAAATTCTTGAAGAAGATTGAATTAGATGAAGTTGTTCGCCACATTCGACTTAGGCTCTATTACTTTCATATTTGCCACAGGTTTTTGCCTTGATCTGATGGCTACAAGCTAAGGGGAAGCACTTTTAAGGAAAGCTGATCGATTCTAAACGTTGCCATGATTCTTAACAAAAATCTCTGAGTTTTATGACCCCTATAAACGTTGTGTGCCAGAAAGTGGACGAGAACGAGGACACACTGATCAAAATTTGTAGGAAGAGGAAGAATTATAGATTAACAACTTATTTTTATTGTTTTTTTTTTGTGCTCTTTATTTTGTTTTGTTTTGTTTTTAAATTTATCTGCAATTAAAACTCAATCGATCTAGACTGTGCTGAGGTGTCTGATGAGTGACGATCTTGTTTTCCAAGACGATCCAAGCCTTGCAGCGTCTCCAAAAATTTGTAAACCCATCAAATCACTCTAGCCGGGGTGATTTTTATTCTTTTTATAATAAAATCAGCGATATTAAATTTTAAAAAAAACAGGTGGTTGCCGTAAAAAAAAAAAAATTTTTATGGTCACCCGGCCGCGATTAATACCTTACCTTATAAAGCTTTTGTACTTAAAGTGGCCCTTGAAATCCTTGAGCTTTTCCTACTGTTTTTCCCGCTCACGACAAGGATTTATTCAACTTTACATTCAAAATTGATGCCTTCGTAAAAACTTGAAATCCTCAAAGTACATAGCTCTCAAATATTGCATTGTTTGCGGGTTTCGTTTCACTTTTTGAATCAATTCTCGTTTGTGAGATGAGTTCCGAGCAGCGTCTCTTGTACTCGATTTGGTGAGGTGACGGAGAGCCTAGAAATCTATAGAATACTTTGTTTTTATCTCATTATCTCAATTATTGAAATTTCCCTATTTGAGTACTGTAGCTGTAAGAATATTGCATAAATACTTGATTCTTTACCGAAGTAACCCGAATTTCTTTGAAATTCTTTAGTGAACAAAAGATATTCAACATTACCACTTTTTATATACTTTTTTTATTACTTAATATATACTTGTATATATTATACTTAATAACAGTAAAAATACAATTTCTGGTTCAATGAATGAATGCTTCTAGAGTACTAGATAAATGATTATGATGTATTTGAGCTTCTAGTAAGTTAAGCTCTGAGCTTCTAGTAGGCTAAGCTCTGAGCTTCTAGTAGGCTCTGAGCTTCTAATAGCTTCTAGTAGGCTAAGCTTTGAGCTTCTAGTAGGCTTTGAGCTTCTAGTAGCTTTTAGTAAGCAAGCTTCTAGTAAGCAAGCTTCTAGTAGCTTCTAGTAGCTTCTATTGGGTTGGGGAGAATGAGTCGGCGCCGAAAATTTAAAGAAACTTTTGCACCCATAAAACCTTCTTTAAATACACGTTTTGTTTCATCAAAATGGTCCACTATTTCTTTACAAAAAGACTTTTGAGAGATTCCACAAAGCTTTTCTTTCGTAAAGTTTATGCACTTCCAAACGCAGCTGGTCAAAATGGCAAAGAGTTCGACTCATCATTTGAACAGTTTCTTTCACATAAACCTTCTTTGGTGTTTATATAAAAAAGATAGAGCACATTCAATTACTTAAGTTGCCAAATTTGCAGGAAGATCCCACCAATGGTTTTTTCTAGATGACAGTTTGTAGTTCTTGTGAAAAAATGGCTTTTTCTTGAGCGGAGGCGCTGTTTGAATTTTCTTTTAAATGTCATTTTGTAGAGAATTAGTTAACCATTCTACTCATATCAAACGCATATTATTTGACGAAGTCGAATTGAAGTTTTAGACATTTTTTTCATTTTCGGCGCCGACTCATTCTCCCCAACCCAATACTTTAGAATTTAGATCAAAAAATTGGACTCACATTCGCGGCCACGTGCTTAGGCACATGCGCTTTTTTGAAGAGTTTCATAAATTCGCGTTTCATCTTTGCCTTGTCATGTGAATGGTGTACCAAAATGATGTCTTTGTTTTTGACTCCACAAAATCTGAATAATAAACAGTTGAACTTTTGAAATGCATCTGACGCTGGTTTACAATCTGGTTTACATTCAAAAAAGAAACGATCAAGAAAAGAGAAAAGAGAGTCGATTTTTGGGTTCCTAAACTGGTCCTAAATTGGTCCTAAACTGGTCTTAAACTGGTCCTAAATTGGTCCTAAACTGGTCCTAAACTCCACGAATTTTCACCTCGTTTGTGCCCATGAATGATACAAAATATGTCTCTGTTTTTTCGTCTTTGCTTTCCCGTCATGCCTCTGAAAATCGTAAACCCAACGCGCGAACGAGTGAATGTCTCTTTCGCCGCACCAATCATGCTTTCTAAATTAGCAATTTTACGTAAAAATTTTTTTTTTATGGCAATAATAGATTTCTATTTAAAAAAAACGATCAAGAAAAGAGTGAATATCGAGGTTTTTTTATGGGATTAGAATGAGAATTAAGTTTAAATTTTGATATAAATAAATCTAAATAGATCTAAATAGATCTAAATAGATCTAAATAGATCTAAATAGATCTAAATAGATATAAATAGATCTAAATAGATATAAATAGATCTAAATAGAACTAAATAGATCTAAATAGATCTAAATAGATCTAAATAGATATCAATAGATATAAATAGATATCAATAGATCTAAATAGATATAAATAGATATCAATAGATCTAAATAGATATCAATAGATCTAAATAGATATAAATAGATATCAATAGATCTAAATAGATATCAATAGATATAAATAGATATAAATAGATCTAAATAGATATAAATAGATATAAATAGATCTAAATATTAGGGTGGTGCAAAAGAAACTGCCGATGGGTATCAGCTCTCATTTATCAGAAACGAGCGATGCTAACGGCATTATTTTTTTTATGTTTTTTTAGCATATTTGTTTGCTATTTATTTCGAGATTTGAATTTTTTGGTTGTTGTTTATTTTATTTAAAAATGCTTATATTTTTTATTTAGATCATGGTCGAGCAAAAGTTTGTGCTACGAGCAGCATTACCGTTTAACTTCAAAATTGGAAAGTCTGCTGCCGACCGAATCGCAGCGTTCTCTCTGTGCTGCTTTCGGAGATATTTGTAGAGGAAAGGAATCATATTTGTAGAGAAAGTTCGTCTCTCAGGCAGTGTCAGACTTGGTTTCAACGATTCCGAGAGGGAGACGAGACTTTGGAAGATTACGAGCACGGTTCGAGGCCAGAAGTCGTGAACGAAGCCAAGCTGAGGGACGTCATTCAGGCCGATCCATGTCAATCTGCTCGAGATCTTGCGAAAATATTTCATTGTGACCATGTCACCATCGAACGCCATCTTTTTTTTGAATTTACCGTCAAATCGGCAGTTTCTTTTGCACCACCCTAATTGATATAAATAGATATAAATAGATAGATATAAATACCTTAAAATACTCTTTTTTACTTAGATTTTTGATGAGTCAATATAGTCAATCATCGCTTTATTGTCATCATCAATAGAATAATTTAGATCTTTATCTTTAGCTTTCTTTAATCCTTAATATAAATAAGAAGAAACTTTATCGATCTGGCTAGTATCTGTTTAGTTTATAAGCCTTACTTCATCACTTACTTTACTTACATTACTTGCCGGCAGGATTTGGCAGGATTTGAACATACAAGGCTCTCTACTTTCGAGGTTTGCGTCCGCTGTTCTACTTTTTTTTCTTTTTCTTTTTTGAATTTACAAATTTAATTGTTCTTCTTTTCAAATACAAGCTTATTTCAAAGTATTATTTTATAAATTTTATCTTTTTTCTTCTCGATCAAAATGATCAAGAAAAGAGTGAATATCGAGGTTTTTTATGGAGAATAGACTGAGAATTAACTTTAACTTTTGATATAAATAGATATAAATAGATATAAATAGATATAAATACCATAGATACTGTAATTGGACCCCATCCCCCTCGTACAGTCGCGTCTTTTAGTATTTCATTTTTTTCAAAGCGCCCGTACTTTCAAAAAATGCGCCTTTGGTATCAAAAAATAGCCCTGAATTTCAGCTATTTTTTGATAACTAAGCGCGCATTGTAGCATAAACCAGTGTCGAGAAAAACGCGTCCAAAGCTAGACTACGCAACACTCCGCACCGTCATTATTTTCGGTATCAAAAAAGCGTCTTTGATATCAAAAAATAGCTGATATTCAGGGCTATTTTTTGATACCTAAACGCACATTGTAGCATAAACCAGTGTCGAGAAAAACGCGTTCAAAGCTAGACTACGCAACGCTCCGCCCCGTCATTATGGGGATGGGGTACTATTACAGTTTTTACGGTAGATATAAATAGATATAAATACCTTACGATACTCCTTTTTTACTTAGATTTTTGATATGAAACTTTTTAAAATCCCTTACTCGCATATATCCCCATACAACGAAACAAAACGCTCAACCGGATCGCGAACCATCGAGAATTTGATCTTTTGAAAGATTGGACGATTCCATTTCGTAGTTAAACGACCAAAATAATTGTTTTTTTCGTTGGCATTCACTAAATGGGGAATTGAGTTGAAGTTTCTAAGATTAAATTTCACTAATTTCACTAATATTGTTTAAAATAAACCCGAACAATTGAGTCGCTCACCCAGAAAAGCAGCACAAATTTAGCACAGCTTAAGATCTCCTCATCACTATACTCTAGGAATCAATCTTTGCCTTAAATTGGCTGAGTTTTTGCATTAGATAAATTGAGATAAATGCTGCATTTAGTTAAACAATTGCATCACTTAAACAGTAGCTAAATTGAGAGAAATTGAGAGAACTAAACTTGAGATCTGAGTGATCTTGAATGAGATCCGACTTCAGAGTTTTGTCTCTTGATTTTCTCTGGATTTATTAGACCAATCAACCTCTATTTAGTATCATTTGAAAGTCTGAATTGTCCTCTTTAAAACCTGAGCTTTAAAACTATAGAAAACCTAGGCTTTTGATGAATTTAGCCAAGATTTGGTTAAGATTAGCTAGATTAGATTTAGCCCACAATAGTTTCTTCGATCCGATCAGTTTGATCTAACTCATCTTGGTGGATTGAAAGACACTCAAGTATTTTTGGGTGAACTTTTCGCTAAATTTTATCTCTTATCTCTCTGTGGTAGCCATTCTTGCTTCTATGTGGGGGTTTATTGTGTCTTTTCTCTTGAGCAACCACGAAGCGTCGTAGCGAGCGCTTGTGCTTCTCTTTGGACTACTATTTCACTATTTCAGTTCTTTACTTCAGTTCAGATTACAAGACTAAGATGTTCTTTAAAAGATACTGATCAATTCAATAGCCATTTTTCCTTCTAGGTGGACTTTTATTGTGCTTTTCCCTTGAGAAATCACGAAGCGTCGTGGCAGGCGCTTTTGCTTCACTTTGGACTCTATTTCAGTTCTTTGCTTCAATTCAGATTACAAGACTAAGATGTTCTTTAGAAGATTTTAATTAAAAGATTTTGCTCAATTCAATAGCCGATCAAAGTGACTGAAAACTGAAAATCCATTTTCAACAGAAAAACGTTTCCAGTTTTCCACGAGTTTTTCTTTTTTCTTTTTAAATTCGCTGCTTGATCAGCTATTAGATTTTAAGATCTACAAAAGTAATAAACTTTTCCAAAACATGATTAGATATTAAAAGATTACTGTAACTGGATAACAGGTTAAGGTAACTGGGCTAACGGCTTTAAATCTTGATCAGCCTTGGTCTTGATCAGCTCGATGCTTGATCAGCCAATCAGCCAAAAGTCTGCAAGTAAATGACAATTTTCTCAACTCACGTATTAGCTGTGATCCTTTGTGAAGTGCGTTGCTTATGCGGGAGACCTTTGTAATCAAGGAGAACATCACATAAAATCCTCTTTGTAATGGTTGAGCCAGTCTTCGGAATTGCACAATACTCGACCCCGAAACCGTTGTTGATCTGTAATCCTGAGCTAAGCAGGCTTAGGCTTAGGCTTAATCTTCGGCTTAGGCTTAGGCTAAGCTTAGGTTTAGGCTTAGGCTTAGGCTCAAGCTTAGGCTTAGGTTTAGGCTTAGGCTTAGGCTCAAGCTTAGGCTTAGGCTTAGGCTTAGGCTTAGGCTCAAGCTTAGGCTCAGGCTTAGGCTTAGGCTTAGGCTCAGGCTTAGGCTTAGGCTTAGGCTTAGGCTCAGGCTTAGGCTTAGGCTTAGGCTCAGGCTCAGGCTTAGGCTTAGGCTTAGGCTCAGGCTCAGGCTCAGGCTCAGGCTTAGGCTTAGGCTTAGGCTTAGGCTTAGGCTTAGGCTTAGGCTTAGGCTTGGACTTAGTGCGTAGGCTAGCGCTAGCGCCTAGCACTAAGTCTATTTGGGTTTGGGCTGAACCCCCATTTTTTGGATCTCAGCGAGTTCTGGGAGCTAAGGCACACCCGTTTGGGGTTCTGCATCCGCCCCTCATAGGAGCATCCTGACAAATTTTCAGGTCGATCTCATGTCTGGAATTAGGCTTAGGCTCAGGCTTAGGCTTAGGCTTAGGCTTAGACTAAGCCTGAGCCTGAGCCTGAGCCTAAGCCTGAGCTTTAACGAAAATCCTTGAAACAATTTATAGTTTAAATTTCTTTTTCTAAAAACAATTTACATATTGAAACAAATGATGGGGTCCACTCTTTACTGGCTTCAGAGCTGAGATCACTATTGGTAAAAGTAATAGAAGGAATAACATTTCAGAATATTAGATACAAAAAATCGTTCTTTGTTTAGCTCGAATCAACGTGAATGGGAGAAAAAAACGAGTCGACAAGACACTTCTCTGAGATGATTTTGGATTGGATAAGGACTGGATTGACAGAGAACGGAAAATGCTCGAAAAAAACGTGTGAAAGAATGAAATGTTTAAGAGTTTAGATCAAATTTCTCTTAAGTCTTAAGATTTAAGAATTTCTTCTTTTTTTTCTTCTCTTTTTCTTCTCTCTTCTTCTCTCTAATTCCATTTCTCTAGACTTTCTCTTTCTTTCTTTCTCTTTCTTTCTCTTTCTTTTTATCTAATCTATTCATTTTCAATCTCTTCATAAGCCAAGTTTACAATAGTTTTTGAAAATTCGACAAATTTAGTAAAGAAAATACTCTAGCTGGATATTGTGGTTCTTAAAAATTGTCTAAGCAAGTTTAGCCATCTCTTTCTTCTTAAGTTATGCTGCTGAACAAGAGAAAGTCGCCAAGTTAAACAATATTACAGATAGAGAACGAAGGAAGGGAAAGGAGTGGCGGCTGTTGTTGTCGAAGCAGATATTGTGATGGTAGCAGTCGCATTACTTAATTAGAACCATACAAAAAAACTAAACTAAAGCATGGATAACCTAAGCTTTAGCCTTGATTTCTATCAGTAAAACTCATCAATTTATTACTTTATTGCTTATTTGAAACGTTTTTGTTTTTAATCGACAACTTATCGACATTGACATATCGGTGATGACAAGGAAAGCACTTTTGAAAGAGATAATGCCATGTGGATTGGAAATGAGAAGAACGAGACTTAAACGAGAACGAGAACGAGAACGAGAACGAGAACGAGAAAGAGAACGAGAACGAGAACGAGAAAGAGAACGAGAACGAGAACGAGAACGAGAAAGAGAACGAGAACGAGAACGAGAACGAGAAAGAGAACGAGAACGAGAACGAGAACGAGAAGAGAAAGAGAACGAGAACGAGAACGAGAACGAGAAAGAGAACGAGAACGAGAACGAGAACAAAAAACAGTTCTAGTTTTTGCTAAAACAGTTCTAAATTTTACGAATTTTTTGTGGTAATTGAGTGGATTTTTGTGTAAAATTAACGGGAAAAACTCTAGAACAAAAGCAACAAGCAATTAATGTGAATGATATTGTAGAAATGAATGAGTAAATTGACATAAAAAGCTTGTTTAAAGTTTTATTTTCCTCCTTTTTAATAGAGTGCGTTCCTCGCGAGTAAGTAATTACTCGAGTAAATTTGCATGAGTAATTTTTTACTCGAGTAATAGCTCGAGTAATAGCTCGAGTAATTGTCGAGTAATGCGTTTTCTAAAAATATAAAACGAAAAAAAAATATAAAACCAATTTTTTACGCAGGTTTTTCAAAAAAAAAAAAAAATCATTTTTTACATTGGAAGGGAATTTCCCACCAAATCAGTTAAACGGCTGAGTATCTTTAAAAAGTGTCGTATATAATGCGGGACTCGTCATTTTTGCGTCATTTTTTTGGGGTTGGAACAAATGCGACCTTTTTTTTGCGAAACCTGGACATTTGCGCACCTTTTTTTTGCTGGAAAAGGCCTTAGGAAGCTCTACGACCTTTCCTAAGGCCTTTTCCAGCAAAAGGGTCGCATTTGTCCCACCCCAAAAATTGACGCGGAAAAATGCCTAGCACCGACTTATATACGCTCCCTTTTCAAGATATTCAGCTGTTTAACTGATTTGGTGGTAAATTCCCTTCAAATGTAAAGATATTCAATTTACTCGACGTGTAAAGAGGATTACTCGTAGTTACTCGACGAAAAAAAACGTCGATACTCGATTTTACCACCAAATCAGTTAAACAGCTGAATATCTTGAAAAGGGAGCGTATATAAGTCGGTGCTAGGCATTTTTCCGCGTCAATTTTTGGGGGTGGAACAAATGCGACCTTTTTTTGCTGGAAAAGGCCTTAGGAAAGGTCGTAGAACTTCGAAAATGTTTCCATACTAGGGAATCGTATGCTTAGATTCCGAATTTCGACAAATCAAAGCAAATCAGACCTCGCTGACACGTCAAATTTGAGCTAAAAGGCAAAAACTACGCAACTTAACGCTTTTCCGCAGTTTTTGCCTTTTAGCCCAAATTTGACGTGTCAGCGAGGTCTGTTTTGTCGAAATTCGGAATCTACGCATACGATTCCCTTATATGGAAATATTTTTGAAGCTCTACGACCTTTCCTAAGGCCTTTTCCAGCAAAAAAGGTGCGCAAATGTCCAGGTGCGCAAAAAAAGGTCGCATTTGTCCCACCCCCATTTTTGCTAAAAAGTACGGTAATTTTTTTGCAAGTGTGCGTTTTAAAAAACGCATTACTCGCGAGGAACACACTCTACTTTTTAAACCTTTTAAATAAAGATCATTGTTTTTAAAGCAAAATTTGAAATACTTTATTCGAGGAAATCCCAAAATGCATTTAAATTTCTCTACCAAATTCCTCATATAATTTCCTTTTCACTGTTTTCATCGTTTTCAAATATCTCTTCATCCATTCCCTTCCCATTTTCTTCATAGAGTTCTGCTGAGCTTCGGCTTTTCCGGATCAGATGATGATTTTGGATCCGAATTTCGGATCAGACTCATCCTTTTCCAATCCAATCTCCTTCACTTCCTATTCAGATCTCTGTCTCCGGTTTAATCCTTGCTGGATCAGCTGATTTCAAATTCAAATTACTTGATTTCTCTCAAAAATCTCAACATCTTTCACTCTCTCACAACTCAATCCTCTTCTTTCCATATAATCGCTTTTTTCGATCGATTTTTTCTATTCTTAAATCATTTTCGCAAATTTCAATCTTCTGAATAGTTTTCTGAAGCTTTAGATACATTTCAAATGATCTTTTCGTACAAATTTTGAATATTTGGAGCAGAAGGGGTCGATAAGAGGCGATGGTCGGTCGGCGATGGTCGGTCGGCGATGGTCGGTCGGCGATGGTCGGTCGGCGATGGTCGGTCGGCGATGGTCGGTCGGCGATGGTCGGTCGGCGATGGTCGGTCGGCGATGGTCGGTCGGCGATGGTCGGTCGGCGATGGTCGGTCGGCGATGGTCGGTCGGCGATGGTCGGTCGGCGATGGTCGGTCGGCGATGGTCGGTCGGCGATGGTCGGTCGGCGATGGTCGGTCGGCGATGGTCGGTCGGCGATGGTCGGTCGGCGATGGTCGGTCGGCGATGGTCGGTCGGCGATGGTCGGTCGGCGATGGTCGGTCGGCGATGGTCGGTCGGCGATGGTCGGTCGGCGATGGTCGGTCGGCGATGGTCGGTCGGCGATGGTCGGCATTCTGCCTTGGTCGGTCGGCATTCTGCCTTGGTCGGTCGGCATTCTGCCTTGGTCGGTCGGCATTCTGCCTTGGTCGGTCGGCATTCTGCCTTGGTCGGTCGGCATTCTGCCTTGGTCGGTCGGCATTCTGCCTTGGTCGCCCAGGCAATGCTCTCGTGTGAATGGTGAGCTCTAGGCATTCAAATGACGATTGCTTAAGAGTGAGATATCCAAATCCGAGCAATCGAACGATTCAACTCTGATCGATCAACTTCAGTAGTAGGAATTGGTTATGAACGATGAATGGTCCATTGCTGCTTGCAAAACGTTCCATTGACATTCTTGGCCACAATATGTTGATGACTGGCTTACCTTTTCCTCATCTTGGCTTACCTTTTTCTTATCTTGGCTTACCCGGTCTCCACGCTCTCATATCCGGCATCTTTTTCTCGTCCTCCCAATTCTCGGGTTTCTTATCTTTCGGATCATCGATAAACTCTCGACTGTCCCAATCTTTCGGTTTCTTCACGGAGCAATTCTGAAAACTTTTTTAAAACTCATAAATCTTTTCACTATACCGGAATATATTTCACTGGCAACATGTCAAAGAATTCCTCAATTTTTCCGCTCATTTCCCTCGTCCAATCAATTCGAACTTCGAAAGTGTTATTTCTGTAGATGATGATCGTGTAGAGATGGGTGAGGTCATCCCACTGGAAAAGTTGAGATCAGAAATTGGAAACACACCCTTTCTAGTGTACTGGTCGAGGAAAAGTAAAGAATTTAGTGCAAAAGAAGGCTTGTGTTTGTGATTTCAGGAGTACAGAAAGCACAATTTCTTGGGAGTGCTTGAAGAGCTACTTGATGCTTGAAGAGCTACTTGATGCTTGAAGAGCTACTTGATGCTTGAAGAGCTACTTGATGCTTGAAGAGCTACTTGATGCTTGAAGAGCTACTTGATGCTTGAAGAGCTACTTGATGCTTGAAGAGCTACTTGATGCTTGAAGAGCTACTTGATGCTTGAAGAGCTACTTGATGCTTGAAGAGCTACTTGATGCTTGAAGAGCTACTTGATGCTTGAAGAGCTACTTGATGCTTGAAAAGAAGTGTAAACACGTCCTCTCTAGCGCACTCGATTCCTCATGAATACTGTGGAAAAATGAAGAAGAATTCAGTGCACTAGACTACACAAAGTTCCCCTGTACTCACTTTCGCTCTGAGCTCTCGATTCACTTCGTAATTCTTTCCCTTGTAATGATAGAGAATCTAGATTTCAAATTTTCATCTTTACCTTCGAAATTTACATTTAAAAACCTTGACTTTTTTATTCTGTGCACAAAAATCCGGTCCAAACATGAAATTGTATTTCGTTTTTGCATTCAAATCCGACAAATTAACATAAGATGGCATTAGCTGAAGGGAATTTTGATCGATAAGTTGAACAGTTTTAAAGTTGAACAAACTTTTAAATAACCTCCACCACAGTCGAGATCTTGCTCATGCTTGACGGTGTATTGAAGGATTAACGTTTTATTGCGATTGCGAAAACGAGGGAAATAGACACCGATTGCATAGAAGTGCGAATCCTGGGCAAATTTTGAAATTATAGAGATTTGGAATTGTCTCTATAGCTTTGGCCTTGATAACCATGACCAGCTAGGAATCAGAACTGGCTCACAGATCTCAATGAGCTCACAGATCCAGAAGTCAAGTCTTTTCCAAGAGATCTTAACGTTTTTAGAAACTAACTTGTTTCTAGAAACTAACTTGTTTCTAAAAAGGTTACTCGTTACTTGCATTAGGTATATGCATAAGAAATGCGGATTTCAACATTTTCATCAATTTCTAACGATCGAAATCTGATATCGATGAATGTTATAAACTATTTGAAATTTGCAAATCTCCTCTACAAATGACAATGACAATGACATTAAGAATGATAATGAATATAAACTATTTGAAAGTTGTAAATCTCCTCTACAAAATAGGCTAAAACGTGTTTCAATTGATCGAAGCATTGAAGAAATTTCGAGGGCGAAATGCGAGTGACCAAAAAAAGGTATCGAGTCACTTTAGGGACAAGTTTGAATCAAGATCATTGGAATTAGAGCTCTAGTATGCTTCTAACTTAAAATAAAGCATTTTTATTGGGTGAAGGACTTGATGTGAAGCACTTGACAAGTCAAAAGGCTTTCCTACAGGAGTTGATCAGGTAAAGCACTTTGTGTGAAACGCATTGTAAAGCCGAAATGTCGCCCTGTAGGACAAGACAGAAAAGAACATCCTTTAACAATCAATGATTCGTTGTTGATTGTAGATCCAACACAACTAAGTTTTAGGACAAAAGATTCGTTTCTACAAATGTCTAACCTCATTGTCAGCCTAGATCCAGAGAGTCTAACAAGTCAAAAGGCTTTCCTACAGGAGTTGATCAGGTAAAGGCATTCAGGGATTTTTTTAGACTTTGGCTAGCTCTCCTCAACAAAAGATTAGATTGGCTTGTGTTATGCCCATAAAACCTTAAACATAAAACTTCAAAACTCCTCACCTGACTCGTTTGTATTCCCCTATCCCTTTCCTGATTCTCATAAATTCTCCCGGCTGTCCATTTCCATTTCCCAAAATCGTTTCGATTTTTTTGATTGAATCCATCTATTCGTCCAATTTGCATCAAAAAACTCCTCCAAAAAATGAATCTTTCCAAGGGTTACTGTAGAAAAGGCAAAAATTAGAAAAATGATTGTGGAAATCATTTTCACATGTCTTTTTTAGAGAAAGAATTCAGTAGATTAATTAGTGCACAAATTCTGTGCCTACTTTTCTGCTATGTTTTGAATTTTTGTGGAGATAATTGATTGAATATTTATTTGATTATCGTTTTTTTCTTTCCCAAAGTCAATAATATTTCTGAATACATTCCACAGCGCATTCAATGAAACCGAACATTTTCTTCATATAATTCTGCTGAGCTTCGGCTTTTTCGTGATCTAAAATGAGAATTTCAGTACTGCAGTTTAATCAGTACTGTAGCTTGATCAGTGCTGTAGCTTGATCAGTGCTGTAGCTTGATCAGTACTGCAGTTTTGTGAGATTTTGATTAAGTTTAAAGACTTAAAGCATTGTTTAGCTACCGTAATTTGCATAATGTAGTGACTTGGGACTTGAGCATCAACTCTCCGCTCAAAGCTCAAAGCTCTCCGCTCAAAGCTCTTCACTCAAAGCTCAAAGCTCTCCGCTCAAAGCTTTCCCCGACTACCGTAACCTTATCTTTACATCATAGCTTTAGTCTTTATATCTTATGTTCCTGTAGTCTTTAAGCTGGCTTACGGTAATATACGGATTACGGTAACCGGGGCAAGCTTTAGAGCTGCTATCTGGTTGGCGTTCGGACAGCAAGCCAAGCACATCTACTAAGTGATGGATTCAGTACAGTAGAAGGGGATAAGTTTACAAGTTGAAATACAAGCACAAGTCCATAGTAAAATCTCTCGAACCAGCTCTTGCAGCCAACATCATTCCCATCATTTCCGGTTTAATGAAAAGCAACGCCATTGGCACCATCAATAATGGGTATAAACGCTCGAAAGAATCGACTAACTAAAAGATTTGATAATATTCGATTACCTTTTGGATCAAAGATCAATTGAATCAAAGATCAATTGAATCAAAGATCAATTGAATCAAAGATCAATTGAATCAAAGCCCAATTGAATCAAAGCCCAATTGAATCAAAGCTACCTTTTCAAAAAGTTTCCCATGGCAATTTGCAACCATCGGCTTTCTCGAGAAGAACTGAGTAATAGTCACGGAGGTATTTGTTGCGACTGAAAAGCTTTGTACTTTATAAAAGAAACTGAAGAATTTTCATGTTAATCCTAGCTTTAAATCGATCCTCTTTAGGGTCAAATCTCCAGGATCTCCAGTTCAAAGTTCTCCATGATTGGCGAGGTGTTCTTTGTGCGGTAATCGCTCTTCATCTGGCACACCCTCTCGATAGATAGGTGATCTCTTTTGCAAAATCGAAGCAAATGCAGGGGCTAGCGACTGAGCCGTCCCCGACGCTTTAGACATGACTATGCCCAAACTCCCGTCCCAACTCCCGTCCCAACTTCCGCCCCAACTCCCGTCCCATCTCCGGCGACATTTTTGATAGAAATTCCACATCCCGTCAAACCATTGGACCACTTAAACAGTAGCTAAATTGAGAACAATGCGATCCGACTCGAGCAACTTTGTCCCCCGGCCCCCAGGATTGGTGAGTCCAATAAACCTCTATATGGTATCCTTTGAGAAACTGAAATCTCCTCTTTAAAACTAGACCAAAAGACAATATTATCTCTAAATAAAGTTATGGATTTTCAGTCTCCTTTAACGATAACAATGAGAATTTTTGTCAATTCTGATAACCAAAAAATCTGTGATAGTATTGCTCACTTTGTCAGCAATTCCTCCACGGAAACGGCGCTCGGGATCCACCGGACGAGATCATTGATCGGAGTGCCCACCTCGCAAACCTGAAATCTTTTTCCAATATAAAAATATCTATTTTCAACTTTTTAAATAAATCCCTCATTCTGAATTCAATTCTAAAATAAGAACCTCAAACGAAATCGAAAATCTTTGACTAAAATGGTGATTCAGACTAAGCCTGAGCCTTTCACACCAAGACCTTGAGCCAATTTTGGTTGAAATGAAGAACTTTTTTGCTGAACATCCTGTAGAACAACCCGTGTCCTTCTTTCAGACTTCTTTCAGGCTTCTTTTAGACTTGTTCAGACTTTTCCTTCTCATCCATCCAACCATTCTTCTGTTCTTCAGTTCTTCTGGTGTTCTTCTGATGTTCTTCTGATGTTCTTCTGGTTCTTCTGTGTTCTTTAGTTCTTCTCGTGTTCTTCTGGTTCTTCTGTGTTCCTCTGTTCTTCCCTCTGTTTTTCTGATATTCTTCTGGTATGAGAATGGATGAGAATCTCATCAGAGTTCACCGAGAGTTCACCGAAAAACCGACAAGAGTTTGTGAAAAGATTCGAGGTATAATTGTCTCATTGAAATGAAAAAGCTCTCAAAATGTAATGCCTACTCAATAAATGGGATCATTTGACAAGAAAATCTTTCGCATTCCTCAAACCGATTCTCCTTTTCTCCATTCTCTTACACTCACTTGCCAATCGATAATCGCAATCGGTTGATATTCCCGGTCGGTCGTTTTTCTCCACAAAATATTCCCTGACCACATGTCCATATGCGCCAAAAGTGGTGGCTGACCTGGAATCGATTGTGAGAAAAAAATTGATACCGTAAATACTCTAATAGAACGCTTTTCCCTCGTACAGTCGCGTAGTCTAACTTCTTTTCAGAAAATCATTTTTTCTCAACTCCAACGACACTTTTAGTACCAAAAAAATACTAGATTTCAAGGGACATCATTTGACGCCCAAGCGCACACTGTAGCGTAAAGCAGTGCGAAGAACGGTATGTTCAAAGTTAGACTACGCGATTGTACGCCCGTCATTATGGGGGTGGCGTTCTATTAGAGTATTTACGGTAAGAGTTTTCACAGAACATCTCAAAGAAAAGCCTGGCTCAACTCCATCAAAAACTCACAAGTATTCGCTAATAATCTCTGATAATTGTTGAAATCCGGCACAAGATCGACAATTTTTCTCATCGCTTCCGCCTCTTGGACTCGTTGTGGATGAGCGTCGACGAAGGAGTTTAGATTGGCTAACGTTTTCTGAACAAACAGATTAGTGACAAGTTTCGTAAACTGCGCTGTACATGAAAGATGTTCATTTTGATTTCATTGTCAATGTCATTATCATTGTCATTGTCATTGTCATTGCCATTGTCATTGTTTCATTGTCATTGTCATTGTCATTGTCATTGCCATTGTCATTGTCATTGTCATTGGCATTTTCATTGTTTCATCGTCAATGTCATTATCATTCTTAATGTCAATGTCAATGTCATTCTTAATGTCATTGTCATTGTCATTTTCAATGTTTTATTGTCAATAGTGTACAACAATAGAATTTCTTGATAAACGAAAGCAGAATTCTTTTCAAGAATTCTCTATCTTTTGATCTAAAAACTCCTAAAAAAAGTAGCCGTTAAAGTGGTTAAATCTCGTTTTTCGTTGTACACCTATTGACGATTAGACCGAAGATTGAGAACAGCTTTAAGAACAGCTTTAATGTACACTATACAATCTACAGGATGTCCCAGAATTATACAGATATCGCGCGTCATTTCACCTCTCTAGCTAGGTTTCTTCAAAAGCAATCCAAAATTTTTTGATTTCTTTTGATCACTTTGATATTTTGATGCATTTTTGCACTTAAAACTTTTTCTTTTTAGTATTTTTTGAAGATCCGTTCATCGTCAATCGATCATTGCTCTTTACAAGGAGAGTGTCTCGTCGACCGACATTCACAAACGTCTAAAAGTTCATCAGAGTGTTGTTAACGATTTTGATCATTGGAAACATTTGTGGATCGTCCAGGACGTGGAGAACGACCAACAACAACCTCAAAATTGAATATCAAAGTGTCAGAGATAGGATCAGAAAGAAGGCGAATCAATCTGTGAGGCAAATCCCGAAAGGAATGGGCACATCGAAGAGTTCTTCTGTGGGACAAATGCTTAAAAACTGAAAAACGAAATGACTGCTAAGAAAACACTAAGAAACACTTTGAAAATCAAATTTCGACCTTCCAACAAGACCTCCCAACAACCCACAAGGCCAAGAAGAAGCCAAGACTTTTGCAATGTCACCTCCCCCAATTTCATCGCTTCTTCTAAATGGCCATTTAGTTCTCCGGCTCTCAATCCGTTTGACTTTTCTGTTTGGTCAGTGTTTGAAGTAAAAGCTTGCAAAAAACCGCACAAAACGATTGATAAGCTTGAAGAAAGTCTTGCTTAAAACATGGGAAGAGTTGGACATCAGCTACTTGCTCGCCACCATGCTTTTGGTCGCCACCCGCCACGCCACCATGCATCAGCTTTTCCCAAACGTTTGCAGGCCTTTAGCAACGCCAATGGTGACCGATTCGAATTCATTTGTTGATTTATAGTTGTTACATATGAAAAAATGTTCTAGAGTTTAAAATGTGGCTCTTTTTCTTTATTAGTCGCTCTTGTCGCCATAATCCTGGGACAACTTGTACAGTATGCAGTGCTAAAGCGTGTACAGTATGCAGTGCTAAAGCGTGTACAGTATGCAGTACCAAAGCTTACATCATATGTGAAGAGCTCTTTGAGTGTGTCCGATGGTTTCAGCTCAACCGAATCCCGAATTTCAGCCATGATTTTCGGGTTGCGAATAACTAAAGTATAAAATGAACCAATTAACATCTTTAAAAATGAGTCTATTTAATGAATAGCTTTACTGTACCCCGGACTGTACTGTACTGTACAAGTTACAGTACCAGCTACCATACCAGCTACCAGCTACAATATCCCTAAAAGGCTTCAAAAAATGACCAAATATCTAAGTTTTTCTATCTACCATATAAACCCACCCCAAGCGGTTATCGTTGCCAACCATTTGGTCACCTCCGTGCAAACGTCTTCTTTATTCTCGGCGTGCATGTCCATCTTGACGCAATTCTCGAAATACTCCATCGCAATGTAACCTGAAAGTACTTTTTTGCTAAAATCTTGCAAACGCACCCTTTCCAGCGCACAAAAATCTTCGCTTTTCTCGCAGAAACGATCTGGAACAGAGAAAAGTGAAAATTCAGTGAACGGAAGGGCGTCGATATTACAAGCGCAAAGCCCACTTTATCAAGTCTTACCCACCAGCTTTCAACTCTTTACAGTATGGCCGTCCAGTGTAGTACTCTGGCAATCAGTTTCTTCTGGAAAACCCCATTTACTTCGAGCATTTTGATAAAAATTCAGCTCATTGTTGTGAATCTGAAGAAGGAAATGTTCAATTTGTTGAAATGTTCAATTTCTTCCCTCACCAAGCTAGCATTTCTTTCAATAATCTCTGCTGGAAGTGCCATCATTGTTTCAAGAGCTCAGTGATCCCTTGGCATGTGGTGATCTGGAAAACAAAGCTAACTTTTAAAAGACACCATTTTCAAAGCTACTCTAACCAGTTTTCATTAAATTAGCCCAAATTTTGAGTCACTGACTATCATTGTCTCATTGTAAGTCATGTAATTCCTCGATGACTTCAAAATTGAGTTGATTAAATGAAAAACTGGCGTTTGATTACACTAGTCTTCTAAAATAGAGCTTTTTAGAAAACGTACGGTACTTTTCGGTACTTTTCGGTATACTCCCGCCACCTCCGCATTTCGGTTATAATAGAAAATGGTACTATGGGCCCCCATACATCCAATGTGTTTATTTGGAAATTTAGCATAGCCTCATGTCAGTTCGGTAAAGGCTTTTGACGTTAAAGACTTCTGCCGAACTGACATCAGACTAAATTCACAAAGTCTTGGTGAATTTAGCCTGATGTCAGTTCGGCAGAGTCTTCTTGTCGTAGCCTCTTCGAATTGACATCGAGGTTAAATTCACAGCATTCTGGGTGAATTTAGCCTGATCTCACTGGGCAAAAGTCTTTGACGTTAAAGACTTCTGCTCAAGGCGACATCGAAACTAAATTCACAAAGAGATCTAGTGGTGAGTGAAGCTTGATGCCAGTTCGAGCAGAGGTCTTTAACGTCCAGTAACCTGCAAATCATCGATCCGGGTGATCAATTCCAAAATCTTGGTCTTTTGTCTTGGTACTCCGATCAACCACTTCCAGCAAGGAAACATTTGTTTGGGTGGCGGGAGTATAGCCGAAAAGTACCAAACGTACTAACCGTAAAAGTATTCGGTTGGAAGAAAGTTCTCAGGAAAAAGTTTGCATGGTGATTTCTCTAAAAAGCAACCCATCAATTCTACCAAGATTTTTTGATAAACTTGACTATATTTCAAAGAGTCAGCTGTGCTTTCAGACCGCAAATCGACAGAGTTCCTGATAAACGCTTCTCGAGATTACGAGGAATTTAGACGACGATCACCACTATTAGAAGAAAATACGGTAATAGATATTTCTAGTTAAGAAAATTTTGAATAAGTACAATTTGAATCCAAATTTAAACAGCACCTTTAACGCACTGCAACCTCCGGTAATCCAGCTTTTTCACCGTACTTAGCAATCAAAGTGTGCCAATGCGATTTTCGAGGCAAATCCACTGAATTAAGGTACAGAGTTGAATTGAATTGGGGTAAAAATTGATTTAAAATATTCAAAATTGATAAAAGAACCAGTAAAAATCTCACATGAAATTTTTGGGAGAAATGAAAGCTTTTTCCGGGAGTGAGAGTGCGCTAATGGAAAGCACATTGCAACTTTTCTTTCCCCTTTAACCTTCACCGAAGAAAAAGTAGAAAACTATTAGGTACATGCATGAGAAATGTGGATTTCAACATTTTCATCAATTTCCAACGATCGAAAACTGATATCGATGAATTTTACAAAGCTATTTGTTATAAATCCTTTTTCACTCATCAAATTCGGCTTTTAAGATAAACAAAAACTATCTAGCGCTGAAATATTCTTATGAAAGTTTATAATTATATCAACTTTAAATCTTTGGAAGTCTTTTCATTGGCAATATATGACCAGAATCAACTCAAATGCCTCTTCAGCTTGAATTTCTCTCAAAAATCGCTTTCTTTCTCGAATTTCTCTCAAAAATCATCTACTTTTTCGGAGATTTCTAATAATTAAACATCGAGTTTTGATTGATTTTGAGACATTCCTACAGTCAAAGCTAAGCAAAGTCAAAGCTGTTCATTATATTTGTCAAGTTCAGCTTTTTCTCCCCCAATTTGTGAATTGTTTTTTGGAAAGCAATCTATTTTGGTACATGCGCCAGAAATGGATTTTTTCATTTTCACATTTTCATCAATTTCCAACGATAGAAACACAAATATCGATGAATGTTGCACAAAGTATTTGAAAGTTGTAAATCTCCACTCTAAAAAATAGGCTAAAACGTGTTTCCAATTGATGGAATCATTGAAGAAATTCCGAGGTAAATTTCGAAATTGCGAGTAACCAAAAGCAAAAAAAAAAAAAAAAAAAAAAAAAAAAAAAAAAAAAAAAAAAAAAGCGAACTTCTTTCTTGAAAGCCCCACTTTTTCCCACAAGAGTTTTTCGGTCCTTGGACTACATATAGTGAAAATGAGGCGCCTTTGACCATCTCATTCAAGGGAAATAATCAGAGTTGGGATCATTTCATGGGAGAAACTCATTGTCATTTACAATAATTTTTCTTTTCTTCTGGGGCTGAAAAGAAAAAAAAAAAAAAAAAAAAAAAAAAAAAAAAAAAAAAAAAAAAAAAAAAAAAAAAAAAAAAAAAAAAAAAAAAAAAAAAAAAAAAAAAAAAAAAAAAAAAAAAAAAAAAAAAAAAAAAAAAAAAAAAAAAAAAAAAAGCCGGTTTTTTGACAATTTTGAGAGTTTTGAACTTACCTTTTCCTATCTCCAAATTCCCCCATTAAATGCATTCCCCCCCGTTAGACTTTTTAATGAATTCATCATATAGTTATCCCCCAAACTTTTCCTTTTTCCCCCGCCCTCCCCTTTAAATATATCTAAATTACAAATAAAAAAAAATTTGGAGAAATAACCCACTTCTATTTTGATCACACTAAACTTGTCCCCTAAAGTGGGCTCGATTCCTTTTTTTTTTTAGTCCTCGCATTTCGTCCCGCCAAATTCCTTCCATATGGTTCGATCAGATTAAACCGTTTGCTATTTTAACAGAGGAGATTTACAACAGTTCTCTATATTTCCCCCCCCCATTATCAGTCTTTTATATTCTTCAATGGACCCCCCAATTGTCCCACCTTGTCCCCCATTTCGTAGAGGAGATTTACAACTTTCAAATAGTTTATAACATTCATCGATATCAGGTTTCTATCGTTGGAAATTGGATGAAAATGTGAAAATGAAAAATCCACATTTCTTATGCATGTACCCAATAGATTGCTTTCCAAAAAACAATCACAAATTGGGGAGAAAAGCTGAACTTGAGAAATATACGAACAGCCTTGACTTTGCTGGAGCTTTTGACTCTAGGAATGTCTCAAAAATCAATCAAAACTCGATGTTTAATTAGAAATTTCCGAAAATTTAGATGATTTTTGAGAGAAATTCGAGAAAAGAAAGCGATTTTTGAGAGAAATTCAAGCGAAGAGGCATTTGAGTTGATTCTGGTCATATATTGCCAATGAAAAGACTTCCAAAGATTTAAAGTTGATATAATTATAAACTTTCATAAGAATACTCAGCGCTAGATAGTTTTTGTTTATCTTAAAAGCTGAATTTGATGAGTGAAAAAGGATTTATAACAAATAGCTTTGTAAAATTCATCGATATCAGGTTTCTATCGTTGGAAATTGATGAAAATGTTGAAATCCACATTTCTCATACATGTACCTAATAGTTTTCACTTTTTCTCGGTGAAGGTTAAAGGGGAAGAAAAGTTGCAATGTGTTTTCCATTAGCGCACTCACTCCCGAAAAAGCTTTCATTTCCCAAAAAATTTCATGAGATTTTTACTATTTTTTTCTATTTTTCTTTTTTTTTACTATTTTTACTATTCTTTTATCTATTTTGAATATTTTAAACAAATTTTTATATTGTATTTTATTTTGTATCAAATCAACAACTCACATTCCCCTTTCCAAAACTTCGACTCGACGATTTGATCCGGTTTTTGCTGTGCATTTGTAACTCTTCGAGAAATCCTCCTCTATCATTTCCCATGTAATTGTTGTGTCCAAGATTTTCCCTCCATCAATCGTCATCTTTTGAATCGAGCTCTAAAAAAAGCTCTAAAAAGGCTTTTTATAAGAGAAAACTCAATAAGAAGGAAAGCAAAAGTCAATAAGCTTTTAGCAGTCAATAAGCAAGAATATCCAAAAGCTTTTGGAAATAACAAAACCAGAGGATTCATTATAACAAAACCTGTTTTTAACCATTTCATTTTGCCTTTTGAAAGTTTCTTTAAAGAAAGTTGCTTTAAATTCAAAATTCAAAGAAAAATACCTCCTTTTCCTATAAACTGTTCCTTTTTCTTTATCAAAATGTTTGAAAGCTTTTTTTAACTAAGAAATCCATCGACTCTCCAAGCTCACGCTGGAGTAAATTGGCAAAAAATTGTAAAGTGAAAAGAATTTTAAGAAAAAAAAGAAATACTTTTAAGAAAAAGACTTTTACCGGAAATGAGTCGACTTTTGAAATATTTTTGTTAAAATCCTTGGCTAGAGTGTTCTTCAAAAGAAAAAGACAA